CTACCTACCTACCTACCTACCTGAAGTATGGGAATAAAATCCCAGGCTTCCCAAACACTTCCCAACAGCTCTTCCCCGCTTGACGTTGCCCTGAAGACACGAGCGATCCCACGCCCCATGAAGAGATCCGGAGTGCACCTCCTAAAGGTTCCCTTAAGGGCTCCTTTAAGGGTTCCCTGAACGGCTCCCTGAAGGTTCCTGTAAGGGCTCTGTTAAGGGTTCCTGTAGGGCTCCTTTACGGATTCCTTGAAGGGCTACTTTCTGGGGTTTAAGGCTGGTGGTCTAGGATCACAGTTTAGGGTTTAGGATTACAGTTGTATAGGATGTTAAGTTCAAGAGGGTTTTGGCTTTGGAGTGTAGGAAGAACCCAAGCCTCGAAACACTCCGAGTGCAAACCCCTGATCAACACAGTAGTCGCCCAGCCCCGGTATGATAACGAGGGAGATCCTAAGATTAAGGATGAAGGCCCTTTGAGAACGGGGTTGATGAACCATTCTCTGCATCACATCGCAGTTGAATCACACTGCAATTGAATCTAGGTTTGCTCGGCTACAAATCCCAGCAGAGTTCCGTGGGATTCTCTNNTCTCTATATATATATATATATGCCAAATCACGGAAACCTGAAACAAAGCAACGAACACAGACATGCAACTCTGCACCTGAAAACTTAAACCTTCGAGCATGCACCCTATCGCATACTGCCTAAGCGCCAAACCAAGCGCTAAACCGCTACTCTTGTCCTCCAGCCCGTAGCTAAAATCTGCAATTAAGCATCCATGTCGGACAGACACACGATCCACAGCAGAGTTTTCACTTCAGCCGTTGTTTGAGTGCTTTCTCCACTGTCTGTAGCAGCTTGCTAATCTTGAGCCCCTGCTGCCTGGATCTCTGTATGACATCCAACGCCTCAGCACAGTGCGTTTCATTTGAGTGTATCACTGCCAAGCGGGCCTGGTTCGCAATGTATCGGGTACCCAGCAATGCGCCTATGTGCTCTTCAACAAAAGGTGTGTCTGGTTTCACCTTTGATTGGGTCATGTTGTGAATCACCTTCCGAATTGCTGCGACCGATGAGTTGGAATGCGCACCCATGAGGTGCGAGAAGACAATGACGTTTGGCTTCACACCGTGATTCAGCATCTGCCCATACAAATACCAAGCCGCTGCTGGCGCAGCTGCACTGCGGCAACTCTGCAATGCTTGGCTCCAGTCGGCGCTGTTCAGCTGCTTACCCCGGTCACGCATCAAGTCCAGGAGTGAAGCTGCCATGTGTACGTCCCCCGTCCGTGCAACGGCATCTAACATGCAACAAGCGACGCTAACAGCCGTCTCATTGCTGTGCCACGCGGTCGAGTTTTGAACCTCCTCCCAAAGGCTCGAAGCCCGCTGCTTCAGCCCAAGGCGACCACAAAGACGTATAGAGTATAGAGGCACCATAGCTGACTGCACTCAAGCTGGCACCGCTGTTGCGGTGCCTGTCGAAAATCGACAATCCCTCCTCATACTCTCCACACTTTATTGAAGCAAGGATCGCCGCATCAATAAGCGGAGTTGCGGTTGCTCCACATGCTCGAAGTTCAGACTGTACGGCTGTCCAATTCCTTGCATAACCAGCATCCTTGATTCGCTTCCTGATCTTCATGTCAACTGCAGAGAGATGCTCGACTCCGGCGACGATGTCCGGAAGAGGCAGGTGCATGTGCAGACCCTGCCGCTCACGATGACGCATGAGGTGCGTCCGTGAGACCGTCGCAAACAGAAGGCATGATTGCCACATCCATGTGACCACCATGACAAACAGGATCCAACCGAAACTCCGGTGAGCGGCTGGCATCTTCGGCTTGAACTATAGGCTGCCCAGTCTCAAAGCAAAGTCGGCTGAGTGACACACCATTCTCCGATCACGGCAACTAATTAACTAGTGAAGGCACAGCTGCTACTTGCTGTTCTCAACAGAACGTCCGAAACTGGGGCTGTTGTCTTCTGAGGCAAGGAACTGCTTGAATCCAATACCCACGACATCAATTGGCAGTTGCAGCCTTGCCTCAATTGCCACAAGCAATGCGTGTCCAGTTTCTGGGTCCATGCTGGTGATCAGAGCTTAATCCGAACAGCGGCGCTGCAGCTGCTTGCGGCTTTGGAGAAACCCATGCAACAAGGGCAAGATCTAAGAGTTTACAAAGCTTCAGGCAGTAAGGCTTTGCAGCATGCAGGTAAACAAAGAATCGCAAAGGCTGAAACGACAGCCGAAAGGCCCGAAGTGCAGTGAGCGGCCTTCACGAATGTACAGCGGATCTGCATAGCCCAAAGTGCCTGAAGTTTCCCGCACCTGCGCTTGTTAGAACCGGCTTGATGGGGGAGAAGGAGAGGGCAGATAGGGAGGTTGCAGTGCTTTGCCATGTGGCTGGGCAATGGCTTTTAAGAAGGCTGCCTGAACCTTGTTCTATGCCCTTGAAGCTCCTGAAACTCAGGACAAAGTCGATGATGAAAGGCATGTTATGTGGTTCTGTCCCCAATGCCTGAACCGCCAAGGCGCACAACCCTTCACCACCTCGAAGCTAAACCGTAATTCAGTGCATACTACTGTATACTGTATACCATAGATAAGAAACCCGCTAGACCCTCAGTCCTAAACCCCCAACCCCAACCCCTAAACCCCACACCCCTAACGGGCCCCTAACCCTACATCCCCAACCCCTAACCCCTAAACCTTAAACCCAAACCCCTAAATCCCCGCAACCCCGAACCCAATGGAAAACCCTCTAACTCCTGTAGCAAATCCGAAGCCCCCCAATCAAAACCCCAAGCCCTTTAACCCACTTAACCCCCAAACCTCCTACAGACTCAAAGCCCCAAACCCCCTAAGCTCCCTAAGCCCCCTAAGCCCTCGCAACCCGGCCCTTCTGTGCGGGCACCCGAAGTGACCGCTGGTTCGGCTCCGCCAGGCAGGCCAAGCCGAAGTCGGCGACCTCCCGTCCAGAGGGAAAAGCGGGCAACTGCAGGGCTTCATGGGGTTTGGGACTTGTCTAGAGTTTTGGGCTTGGGGTTGGTAGGGGTTTTAAGGTTTAGGGCACAAAGGAATTCTGGAGTCATGGTGTTGACTTCGAGAGCCGTTTTATACGGTTTCGGAATGTCTACACAGGCTTTGGATGTGATCAATTACAGGGGTTCTGCGGCATTTACGGAGTTTTAGAACGTCTTTTGTTTAGGTTTGGGGATTCCAGGGCGTAGGGGCTCAGAGGTGGTTCCGCTGCGGTTCAAGGGGGGGTGTGAGAATGTACATGGCTGTCTCGCTTGGCTAAACGGACTTCATGGATTTTGGAGCTGGGATGTTGTGCCTTTTTTCCTGTTCAGGGCTTTGTGTGCTTTCGATTCCAGGCTGAAGCCTGCTATACTACTATATGCTACTTAGAACAGGCGTTTCACTACTCCGGGCTTATCTGTTTGGGGTTGTATCCTTGAGTTCCTAGCTGCCAGCTGCTTTTCGGGCTGCAGGCTCCGGACCGATTGGCCGCCGAAATCCGGTGTTGTGGTGAGAGTTCAGGAAACGGGTTTTGGTCTGGAGCCAAACTGCTAACTTTAACTTTATCGGTATGCGTGCATGCAAGTACAAAACTCGCTCGTGATTCTCACGTGTCGCTCGTGGTACTGATGCTGCAAGTAGAGAGGCTTGCTCCTAAACTTCTACACTCTTTAAGCCTACAGCCTGGCCCTCCGACCACAATCTCACATTCTTCCCTGAAGCCTAAACCCTGAAACCCTGAATTTCTACATCCCAAACAGCTTTAGAAGCATAGGAGCCAAGGACACCGAGCCCCAACAACTCCCAAGTCTCGAACTATCGCACTGTATAGAGCGCCGAAGATCGTCCACGTATGGTATAGGGACCTTGAAACTTGATTTAGGGTTCTGTGCATTGAGTGTGCACTAGGGCTGGGTGTACTTTGAAAGCGTAAATCTGCATGGGGACTATGACAGTGGGACACGCTAGCTAAATCTGCACTCTGTACCAGCGCCCCGGATGCCACCTTGCCCGTACCGTTCTTGTCCATGAGCATGTTCTGAGTCTTCACATCCTCAGCGGCGTCCGAGCATATCGAGTGGGAGAGTGGGGTTGGGCGGTTCTATAGCCATATTGGAGCCTGGATGATTACAACAGGGCTGTGTGTTTGCGGCATATTTTTGAGTACTGTGGAATAACAAAAACTGGAACTACTCTAATGTAGGCGTGATCTCACAATCTGGATCTCATTCAGGATATTCAGGCTTCCGTTTTAGCACCGACGTCAGGGTCCAGGGTTTCGGGTTGTCCTAAACTGGCAGATTCCCTGTCCTCAGCATGTTGAAACGCAAAGTAGTAGTTGAAACGACAGGGAAACGGATTTTGAACAGCTCCCAAAACGGCATAAACACAGGATTCGGTAGGGGAGTCGAGATCTAGAACTCAAGGACTAGAGCTTCGGCCTATGAGGGCCGAGCTGCCTAAACCCAGAACT